CAATTTTTAATTCTGAAATTCTAAAATATATTTTATTACTGTATTATATATTACAAATTTATTTTATAATAATACAATATTATAAATTAGTAATAAAAATACAATATTTAAAATAGAGAATTGAACTGAAAAATAAAAATAAAATATATTATTACCTTAATTTTACTAAATAATAAACATGTTACTTAATTAAACTATAACCATGTTAATATGATTTTTTTTACCGTATTTATATTAACTAATATTTCTATGTTTAACAATAAACTAATTATAATCAATAATAAATATTAATTAGGCCAATTGGAAAAGATTAGTGATTTAGTAAAAATTATATTTAAAATTAGTTTTTATTTTGTTTTAATTATATTTTTAGTACTTAAAATTAGAAATGAAGCTCACTTTAATTTTTTAAGTAAAATTTTTCAGATTTAAAAATGCAATTTCAACCCAACAAATTTATTATTTAAAGATTACAATATTATGAAAAAAAATCATTTTAATTCTTCAAATTTAGTATTTATGAAATTTTCTATATTTAGGAGAACATTTTAAGAAAATTGAATGACCAAAAACAGATTTACCTCAAATTTCAAAAGCTAAAAATGTAATTGAGTCTTTTTAACTAATAAATGAGTCCAACAAACACTGAGAATACATACTATGAGTTCACAATTAATATTTCATAAAATATAAGTAAAAAATCAATATTTGTCTACAACAAGACAATTAATTTTGGTCTGATATGCACAAACTAAGCCAGACTAAACAAAATCCATGTTAGTTCTGAGTGAGCACTTGCAGGTGTAATTAGTACTAAAAGAACATCACTCATTGTTGGGGACAAGGTTACCTTGAACAATATGAATTATTAATGTACATTTTCATAAGACATTCAATTTTTTTTTGCATCAGAAGAAAGTAAGCCCATCTGTTCAGTAAGTAGGTCCATATGTTGAGATTTTTCCCATCCATTTTCAGTTGGCTGCAACTCATTCTCATAGAATACTTCAGTACCATTCGTTTCAATATCCTCTGACACCGGAGTTCGCACAATATCATCCCAAAAGTGAGGATTGTTCAACAAATCATCGATGTCTGGTTCAGTTGAAATACTATCAAAATCAAGGGGTAGTGACATATTCACCCCAAATGAAGTAGGATCCATGTATCCGTCACCACCAGTTTCTGGTGCCATATAATTTTCTTGAGGAATATTGAGAATGTTTTCTGCTACTATATCTGGTATTGTAGCAAGGTCCGGCATTATTTCATCTGTTTGAGTAACAGGGATAGCAGGTGCATTAGGTTCCCCAACTGAAACATTTAGATTAGGATATGTAACTTCTTCACAGGCTGCAACTTGGGAAGAAGATAGAATTTCAGATTTTCCTGTTGAAGGACCGTGCCCTTGAGTCCTTGCTGCAGATGGAACATAAGAAGACTGCACCTTAGTTGGAGGGACCTCTTGAAGTGTTACTCCAGAAGATCGACTCAAAGAGTTTCCCCTGTCCATTTCACTGGATGGTGATGAATGATCACCAATCAAATAATTATCGGGGTTATTACTGAAAGATTCTTGTCGAGAAGCATCCAATTTCATTATTTGCCTTACCATTGCTTTTGCTGCTTCATTTATCAGAGGTTGATATTTAACAATTTGCCCATCAGAAGCAGCTGTATGTTCCATTTCACCAATACCTTCCTGCTTCAGTCGACGTTTTTTATTTGCCTCTGTTATGCGTCTATTACTATCATTTTGCTGTTGTACAAATTGAGCTAAGAAACCAGGGCTCTGAACAGCCTTTGCAAGGAATGACATCATTTGTTGCTGTCGTTGCTCCATTCCCTGAAGGCGCTGAACCATAGTCTGCAGCTGGTTATCAGTAGATTGCTGCTGCTGCCTCAATCTCACAAGCTCTTGCATGAGCACATTCTTATCTCTCTTGAGAATTTCAACCTCTTCCTCAAGTCCAAACTTCCCAACTTCTACACAAGCCCCAACCGATGAATTCTGTCCGTGTACTTGTTGTGCTTGTTGATGATTATGATCATGGGCAGGTTTCCGCCGAGATATGGTCTTAAGCAAGTGCTTTTGACCCCTTAAAAATCCCTCATTTGCAAACTCCCAGCGATCCGGGTCTACCTTTCTAAAACCCTGCTTAATGATGAATTGTTGTGAGAAACGTAAGGTCACAAGGAGGCCAAATGTAAAACTTTTTATTTGATATACACAACATTTGGCATGCACTAACAGCCGAAAACCTTGAAGGAGGAAATTAAAAATGGTAACATATGGATAAGATGCAACAATATAGCAAAAAGATTAAACGGGCAACAAAACAGAATTATTCATTTAACCCACGTCTGCATGAAAAGGGCTCCTCCATAGCCTGAGACAGGTTCTTCTTGGGAACTAGATTCTAGGCAAAGTAGTTAATCCCATACACCAGAGCAAAGCAGCCTACCTCAGGACTTATGATACAAGATAAATTATTTATGATTTATACATTGCACACTAGCCGAAACACATGCACTACCAAACTTGTGTGTATACATTTCTATTACATTAAATTTGATATATATTATAATAATCCAATGCTACTTGTTTCTTTAACCCAGCCTCCGGTTGAAACATTATGAATCTAATTCAAAATTTGTAATAAAAGCAGAAAAAGACTACGATTCTAGTGAATAATAAAATAATTTTAAAGCAATATTTTCAATAATAAAATCAAAGAGTAAAAAACATAGGTCTTTGTAAACTGCACACACCAGAAAAAACCTTGAGAACAGAGGTGGGACAGAACAGGACAGGAGTTGCTACAAACAAGAGCAAACAATGCCATGAATTGCTGTAGAGTGGCAAGAAAATGACAATAAACACATGTAAAGGGTGAAATTCAAACCATAAGAAGAGCATGCACAACACAATGACAACTATGATTTCCTAACAATAGCAGGTGAAAACTAGAGCAAGAAGCACTGTCGAAACAGAGGGGGCCAAGATGAAGCTCATGAATCATCAGTAGTGACTGTGATACCACAATAATGCCATGATTATCACTAGCTTGGGGCTCTGCAATGGAAGCTTATGAAAATGTGATGCAAGGCGATGCATAACGAGCCAGTGGCACAACATCACAAAATCTCACAATCAACTACTAGATTTTTGAATTTAGATACTTTTCTCCTGCATATAAGCATACAAACCAACAAGGTTGCCAAAAAAATTTAAGAAAAGCTGTGATGCTTTCACAAGCTAAACTCCCAAGAGTTACATAACTTGAAGTGTTTAGAAAACTTAGACACACAAACATGGACCAACATGCCTATACATATGATCATTAACAGTTATCATTTGACGTGGCTCCAAAACTATGGTTCATCCCGTGTTGTTAAGATGTCACAAACTATGGTTATACAAAATTTAGAAGGAAGTAGCTGTATTGTGTAGAAAACTAGAAAACAATAGTGTATAAGTTTACCGAATATATACATCTTTATCCTAGAAAAGATTTTGACAATGAGCTTTTTAAAAAGTGGATTTTGGCTTAATTCAACTTTACAAAACTAGCTTACAAAGTAAGATTTATACTTACTTATATATTATAATTTAGAAGCATCTCTAGTTGATGTAAGATTTCAGACACAACTAGTCACATCAAGGATTGGGGACATCTCCAGTGTAGGACAAGATATTTGGAGGTAGTCTAATAGGAACTTGATAGACCAATCAAACCTTGCTATAACAGGCTCAAATGGATTTAGGCCTGATTCAACTCTATGAAAATTGGCTTGAATTTTGAGCTTTGCACCTACTTACATACCATAATTTGATCATATCTCTAATTGATGTGAGATCTCCAATACACCCATTCAAATTGAGAAATGGAAATCTGAAATGTGAGACTTTATAGTAACTTGATAGCAAGTGATATGATAACCCAACAAACCTTTTTAGGATAGATTGTGGTACATTTTAGATACCTAACTCAACCTACAAAACTAACTTACAAAGTATGAGAATTGCTTCCACTTATATATTATAACTTGACCATATCTCTAGTCAATCTAGCTAATTTGTTCTCAATAGCCAGAAGATTCTGACATCAAATGCACCCAAAATAACCAAGTATATAAATACCTCCTAACTTGAGTATAAATGTCAATAAATAGCTATAGAGTTTAGTTTAAATTGATCTCTAGAAGAGGAAGTAATTAATAGAATTTGCATTCTAATAGAAAGTGCTCAACAGATCTGAAATAGAATGGTGAATGTGTGGCAAATGGCCTTTCATCATTCAAAATCACCTAGCTAACATTATTTAACACAAATACTAAGTTTGACGGCTTAGAATTTAAGTTTAAGTCTTAATTTAACTCCACAAAATCAACTTGGAAAGTGAAGACCGCCCATGCTCTATAAACTCTATTCAAGTAGTATATCTAGTTGATGAAAAACTAAATCCCCACCCTTGAAGCTACAATTAGTGCAACCCCCAAAACATGCCATAACTAGAGTTGCCTGGGATTGATCACTTCTAAAGGGGCTTTTCAACGTTACCATCTATTCCTCGGGCTACCAGCTTGGAGCACGGAAAATTTAAATGACCCAACAATAGATCTGGGATAAATTTTGATATCATCTTAAAAGTTGATTTTAAGCATAATTCAACTCCATAAACTAGTTGGAAAAAGTCGTAGTTAAATCAGGCTAGGAGTGACCGCACTACACAAAACTTGGTTGCAAAGATTATTAATTCCATTTTCCTCAAAAATGGTCACTGCTTCGGCTGAGCCACCAGGTCATTTTTTACCCTAATCCTTAACTTACCACAATAAAAAAATAGACAAACTCAACTAAAACAAATATTTTTTCATACTTTAAATGAAGTTACACATTCAACATAGTATACACCAGCCTACAATCAAATTAGATAACACTATCATCGGATCTAAATCACTCGGTTTTTGCAGGAACATTGACGCATCCCCCTCAAATAGAGGACAGACCAATCAACGAGATTGCCTTGAGTCATCACCACAATAAACAAGCATCATGTAAAACTTATCTAGCAAAGATCATGTTTCCTCCATTCCCCTCAGGTGGTCCATCCCAAATAAACAATAATCGCAATCCATTCACTCTTCATAATCATCCAGACAAAACAACCCATAAATTTAATTACGTGATTGACCCAACATATATCCGAGAAATAAATAACAGTTACTTCCTCCATTATAATTCCAACTTCAAGGCCCACTATCTACTTCAGTTGAAACGACACCAAGGACGGTAAACATAAAGAACAATTCAAGAACAATTCAAGAACAATTCAAGAACAATTCAAGAACAATTCAAGAACAATTCAAGAACAGTTCAAGAAAACCCTCCATTTCCCACTCGGAAACAGTTAAATCCAATTGACAATTGGCCGGTAAACAATGGTCAAGTGTAGAAAACGAAAGTCAGAAGGGGTTTACTTACGTAGGTGTTTAAACTGGCGAACGAAGCTGGAAGAAGTTATTGTGCTTGAAGTGTTTGGGCAAAAGGTCTCTGGCGAACTCCGGAGGGTTCCAAACAATGAAGCTGTTGTTCGTTGGACTCCACGACACAATTGAGTCCGTCGAAGGGTCGTCCACCATGTCATACGTCTTGCTCAGGAAAGGCGGCGGCGCGTTAGCGTTCGGAATCGGTGTCGGCCCCGCCGTCGACACTTCTCCGCTCCCACTGCCTGCTCCCTCCATTTCACAATTTCGATAATAAAAAATCTGAAGCCAAAATTAAAACGAAAAAAAATGCTGGGTTTTGTTATGTGTAATCTTGATTTCTACAGGTTGAGAGAGAAAAGGAAAAACTCAAACCCTAGTTGGAACCTGAGGATGCAAATTATGAATTATAAATATATATATATATATATATATATATATATATATATATATATTAGTGTTCGAAAACTAACCAGTGAGAAAATTTTACAGACAGAGAAGTTAGAGAGAGAAGGTATGGACGATGATGGGGTCAGGATTCAAAATGGGCATTTATTTATATCTGAGTGAGAATTGAGACCGTACGATATGCATTTTTTAGGAAAGAAAAATATCTGTTAGATTTTTGTTTTCTAGTTTTACTGAAAAACTTACCATGGGACAAATTTCGAAAAGGGAAAGGGGAATGATGACACCAGCATGATAAGTGAGCCCTTTGATTTTCAAATTTGTCACTACATGTATCCAACCCTGTTTCTCCATATGTAATCAAATTTACTTAATACGATTACAAATTTACTAATTCTAACAATTAACGTAACTTTAAGGATAAAATAGTAAAGAAAATATGTTTACGAAAAATTAGTTTTTTTAAACAACTTATTAAACATAATAAGTTTTATTGGCTTTATTTAATACAATATTTATAGATTTTCTACTTCTACTTTTTTTAGTTTTACATTATAAGATTAATGTATATAAATTAATTGAAGATTAAGCGAAAAATAAAATATAAATACAAAGTAAATCATGTCGTTTATAAAATAATATATATTAATAATAATCAAACTATAACAATTTACTCAATTAAAGTATAATTTTTATTTTTTCCTGTAAGAATACAACAACACGATTAAATGATTCGCATTTTACCATACTTAGAAAAAATCAAAATATAAATAGACATCAAATAATCTTATATTAATAAAATATAATATATAATATATAATATGTGACATTCCTAAATATAGACGTCATTCAATTATAATATTGGAAAGCAGTTAGAGACATATAACAGACTATTGTGATTACAGTCATCCAAAATAAAATCAGAATTAGTCTCTTAAACATAAAGGATCCCTGAGAAGTATTATCAAAATAGTTTCTACAAATTATAATCCTAGAAGTACTAAGTTGTCGCATCACCATCTTCTAGCGCTTGCTCCACGGACACTTCCTCTTCATTTGCTCACATCCAATTGGATGATCATTGCAAAAGAAACATACCAAAACAAAACACAACCCACAAGAACAAGGGTGAGCTAAGTTTTACAAGCAATCATTACAATATTAGAGTAAATAACACATCAAGAATTACTTTTTCAATCCAGCAAGTTAAATCATACAACCTAACATGTCATATACTAGAACTACTCGTCCGGAACTTAGAATGACTGTCGAGCTATGGCGGGTTATGCGCTCGTGGTGGCTTATGAAACTTGGGTTCCCCACCCTACCACCTCACGAGGTTAGCCGTTCGGGCCTTGAGGCATACTAGAAGCCCCCAAGACTAAGACCTCATACTACTCCTCACCACATGGTCAATCCTCTCTACTTGAGAAGTGAAAGACCATTGGAGCGTCAGGAAAACCCCCAAGACTGAGATTCCCTGACAGATCATTCTAAACACTAAGGCACCACCATGAATCTTCTCCTTGAAGATCATGGAATTACGTCCATCCATCATACTTATTACATTCAACCACCAACATGTCTCATACATTCACATACTTTCAGTATAATAACATTACCACGATCATAACTATGCATTTCAATCATTCCGCACAGTTAATTCAAACCAAAACAAGGCAAATGAGCTTGAACCGAACGCTGTGAGTTTTGGCCGAGCACTGAGAGCTTTGGCCGAACGCTGGAGCCTTGGACGACACCTAGGACCTTGGCCGAACAATGAGAACCGTGGAAGATGCTTAGAACCTGCCCTAAACACTTAGAGCTTGGACGAACGCTAGGGCCTTGGCCACCAAACACTTATAAACCTTGGGCCGAACGCCGTAGAGGCCTTGGCCCGATGACTTAGGGCCTTGGCCGAACACCCTAGAGCCTGGCCGAAACACCTAGAGCCTTGGCCGAACACCTAGAGCCTTGGCCGAACACTATTTAGGGTCGACCGCTAAGAGAGACCGAACGCTATCAAGACGACTCACTAAGACCGAACGCTACCAATACCACCCACTAAGACTGAACGCTACCAATACCACTCACTGAGACCGAACACTACCAATACCACCCACTAAGATCGAACGCTACCAATACCACCCACTAAGACCGAACGGTCAACTGCAGCGTTCTGCATAATTGCTACCAGAACCCAAATGACCATTTCAACCATTTCTACTAATTCTAAACACCCTTAATTCTTGTTGTATACTTAATTAAAAACTTATCTAATGATTCTAAACATTCTACTACCATTTTAAAGTGATTAGAGTCAATTTTAACTCTAAAATACCAATTTCAACAACTTAGGGACCCTAAATCCAATTCTGCTATTTTTAACATGTTTTATTCTAGTTTTAGGACTCGGATCAGTTCTAGTTGACTCACCTATGCTAGCCCAAACTACCCAATTGGTCATTGGAGAAGAACCCAATGTCTGAATGCATCAAACTCACCTTCGATGCCAGCACATATGACTAGTCACAACTGACTGGATCAGACCAGGGCTGCTCTATGATCAGGGATGTGCCAACTTAGGTTTTTAAGGTTCCTCTATCCTACCAACAAAGTACTCTTCCAATACTACACTTCCCTTCACAGTAATCTAAAACAGTACCTGTAATATCCATATTGATATTTTATCATTAATTCTACCCCAAACCTGAAACCCAGTTAGAACCAACAACTCATCCAGTCAAAAACATTCAGTACACCATGATTATGCTCTGTTACACATCCAATAATACAAACCAAACCTGTCATCACCAAAAAACATAACAACAGTAAAATAAATCACAATTTATTCAAACACACACATAATACAGTCCAAAACAATTATTATGACTAGCTCCCCTTACTTTGGTGGTTACAAAAGCACAATACTCTTTAGAAGAACCCCAAAACAGTTAACCCTTGCACGAAGCAAGTTCAACTCAACTAGCAAACCGTCAAATTGGGAACAAGAGACATTCTTAGAGTTAGAATAGGTAGAGAATCTGGAGGGAAAACCATTGGCTACATGCAACTGCCAAAAATTGCATGTCCTAGGCTCAAGAGAAAAGGAAAACAGAAAAGATAACTTACCCGTCCAAAGCAGAATTTAATCGGATGAATGGGAAGCTCCCAACTCCATGAACGAGAGAACACCACCTATTTCAAATTTCAATGGTGGAAATTGACAGAAGAGTAGAGAGAAGTCAGAGCAAAAAGAAGAAAACGCAGATGTTTAGAGAGAGAAAGGAGAAGGAGTAAATAAACTCAGAGTTGAAAAAAGAAAGATCCCTACTAAGGTTAGGATGTCCTTAGTGATATGGGCCGAACTGCCTTAACGGTCCACTTATTTATCATGCTCTTACATAATCTATTTGAAAGTGAAATAAAAAAAAATTATTCCATCTAGAAGTAAAACATTCTGATAAAGTTAAATTTAATCGCTTCCCAAATTTTATATTTGATAAAATTAACGTACTTTTACAAAATGTTATTCCATCACCAACTTTATATAAATTTGATTTCATTCATCCAGTCGTTAAATCATAACTTTGTATTTTAGCGATTACATCACAAAATTAACTTTTTTATATAAAGTGGTTGAGAATTAATTAAGTCAAGTAAAAGTTACATGGATTAATAGTATATCAGTAATACTTTATAAACATTAATTTGTTTTAATCATTAAATTTTAATTTTTATAACTAATGATATTCACATAAAAGTTGTAATAAATAAATAATAATAATAATAAAAAAAATCTAATTAAAATTTTTATATTTTAAAAAGTATATGTTACATTGATTTAATTATGTTAAAACAAATACTTCAACAATTTTAGACTAACTAAAATGATATATAGGCATTATTGTACTGTGATTTATATTTAGTTTAAATAGATAAGCATTTAAAATCGTCCTTTCTTGTAAACAGGATTTATGCAATAATTGGATTGTCTTTTATGTTTCTAGGGAAAGCTTGACATTGATGTAAGACCCTCCTTGTCAAGATGAAAAATGGACACGGGAAAAGATAAGAAAACTTAGCAAGAAAAGAAAATTTGGATTGCTGCATGTAAAATTTGCAATTGTTTTATATGAAAAAGTTTATAAATATTTATTAAACTACTCATTTTAAAAAAAAAAAAGTAACTAAACATTTCTTTTTTATTATAAAAGGGAGAAAAAATGGCTTTTCATAAGAAAATCCTAATTTTGTCACCAAGAATATGAATGATTTATTTTGACGTATCTCTATAATAATAAGTTTTTGTGATAGAAAAAGTCAAAATTAAAAATAGCAGTGTAAAGGCTTGAATTTACGTTGTCCATCCAAATAACATTAGTAAAAAAGAAATGGATATAAAAGTAAATATAATTATATTAGCATAACTAATATAGTATATACTACATTTCTTTCTCTCATGAGTATCTTACTTTGATCATTTTTAAGATCTTTTCAGTGTCATGGTTTCTATTTTTAATTTTAGTGGATATAATTATTTTGTTTTTCTTGTGAGTTTTGTTTTCACTTTCATGTTATATACTATTGTGAATAATATCAATTATTCGTGGTAAAAAAAAATGAAACAAGTTAAATTAATCACAATATTTGAATGGTTGCAATCCTTACATAGAGAAAGAATTTTATCGTGACTACTGTCAAGTATAATTTTGTATATAATAATAAACATTCAATCCAATAAGTGATATTAGAGTTAAAATTATAATAAAATCGTGATTTGGTTAAGATGATACACAAAATATAAAAGTTACATATTCAAAAAATGCTCCATGTTAGATCTTTCCCTTTTAGACATGGTATATCTTTGAATCTCTTCCCTAAAATCGCATGAAGTTTGAAAAAAAAAAAAAATTTGCCTGTCATATAAAAATAGGAATAATTAAAAGAAGATAAGAGTAAGAAAGTTTGATATTTTACAAAGATGAAGGTTGAAATTGA